GAGCCGCCGCCGCGGCCGCCCCTCGCTCCTGCGTCACCCGCGCGGGCGCTCCTGGAGGCTGCTCTCTGTTCCCCCCTTCGTGTGCTCCAACGCAGCGGTGCGGGTCAAGCTCTGCTCCTGAGGAGTCGCATTCATCTGCCCGAAATGGTTCGTCACCCGGCGTTCGCCATCGTCTTCCAGCTCGAGTATGTCTTCTGCGTGCCGGGGGGAGCCAACGGGAAGGTAGGCATGAGCTGCACGCATCAGCTTCTCATCTAGACGTATGGAAAAGCCTTAGAAACGGGCCAGGGCTTTGCTGACAACCTTAACTAGTCGCGTGTCCCTGGGGGGCTGCAGTAACTGCCTCACAGCTGCTCTGGTTACTCAGTGACATTTCTAAAGTTTCTCCGATCAATTATTAAAGAACATAAATCTGCACCTGATGGACCAGAGTCCTTTCGAGTAACGAGATACTCTGCCCAGACTTCACCGTCCTGCTTATCCAGGCAGTAGACAAATGGCACCTTCGGAGCTATTCCTGTCCGCTGTGTAATTAGTGCAGGCATTTAAGACATGTTATCCACTCCACAGCTCTTTCCTCAAAGGTTGAGGTCTCGAGTCCTGTAAGGAGCAATGGTCTCGTGCTGGTGCACGGCTCCCTCCGCTCTGCAGCGCTGAACTGCACTGCGGGGCCGTGCGCAGGACCAGGTTTGTGGCTCCTCCAACCCACCAGGCTCATGTTTGCCCAGGGGAGAGGAAAAGTGGGAGAGGAGCCACCCTGGCAGCTCCGCGTTAGAGGTTACATTTTCTTTGGCTTTTTTCTCAGAACACCATTTGTTTATCATCTTCTCATGTTAGCTTCACTCCAAGCTGTCCGGGTGCTAAGAAGCAGGTCTGTGAAGTGCCCTAAATAAAAGGGAGAGGAAAAGGCAGGGAGCTGAGTGCCTCGCCTTTTGGTAGGGTGTGAGTAGGCTTCACATGAACAGTGCATGTTCTGCACCGTCTACAGTAAGGAGCATTTTTTAACACTTCAAAAGAGCAACCTTTTATAAATGTGCTGAAAAACAGGAGCTTAAATTGAGGGTAGTTTTTCCTCTAACCATATTAGGAAAAAAAAATGCTGGTTTTAGACTAACATTTGATTTATTTTTTCACTGTTTCAATTCCTACTGTGATGAACTTATGCCTTATACTTCAGGAAACAAAGAAAATGCAGAAATGGTTAATAATGTAGGAGTGAAAAATGTGCCCTTCAGACTTGAATGACCTCAAAAATCATAGGCTCAAAACATTTCTTATTTCTTAATCTGTCTCCTGGATAGCTTAGAGTTGGATAGTTGCAGGATTTTCTGATTCAAACTGCAGTTTCTGCAGGGTTTCAGTGTTTTGTGCCTTTTCCTGGCTTATTTTAACACATCACTGCTTTTTAATTATTTCTGAAAAATGGAGTGTTTTTCTTTCAGCAATCACAAGATCTTGGTGCTTGATAAATCTCTTCTCTGCTTCCCCCAGGTTCTGCCCGCAATCCGTCTCGGTTGCGGCAGCGCTCCGCGCGCTCATTAAGAGCGCTGGTGGAAAAGTTGTTTGTTTTTTAAAAATTAGTATTGACTAGCATCTCCGATTTGCGACTTGACAGATGGGGAGCATAAAGCAGAAGAGAAGGCGCCCTGAATAAAGAACTCCTCCCAACAGCAGATTTATTAATCTTGGTGAAAAACACTAAAACTGCAAGTGCTTGTTAGGCGCTTGCCTGGCACCGCTGCCCTGGCCCGTGCCCCGGCGCGGGTGCCTCATCCATCCTCTTGTTGTGCTGGGATTTGCTCCGCACCGGGTGGCGGCAGCCGCACGAGGGGACCATGGAAGTGGCCCCCATGGGCCGCCCTGCTCGCTGCGCGTGGCCTCCGTGTCCCCCGAGCACGAGGCTAAATGCGTCAAGAAGGAAGGGCGTCTGCGGGGGGGATTACGGATAATCCCCCTTCCCGCGGGGACAGCGCTGGGGTCGGCGCCGGCTCCCTCGCTCGCCAGCCCCTTTCTCAGTTTAGCTGCTGCCCTCCAGGCGCTTCTGCCTCTGGGCATTCCCGGGTTGGGATAGGAGGGGAAAGGAAAGGGCCTTCCTGGCGCAGCAGCTTCCAGCCTCCCACAGCCGCTGCCCGGGAGCTGGGACAAAAGGCAAACGCCTCCTCAAAATGTCACCGGGCCTTCAGCAGCAGCCTCTGCCGCGTGGCACAAAGGGGCTCACTCAGTCATTTTAATTATATGTTGTTAAATTTTTTTCCAGTGTGTGTATATATAGGGAGAAATTAGCCTGCAGCGGTCCTGGAGTGTTCTGGCAAGCCGAGTGGCAAAATTTCAGCTTTTTTAATTAAAAAAAAAAAAAAAAAAAAGGCCGCTCTTTAGAATGTAGCACAAAAATAAGCTGTATGCTGAAGACGTGTCCTTTTCTGGCAGGCTGAGGTTTTTCTGAGAGTTTAAACGTGGCTTTTCCCACCCCAAACTCCCGAGCTATCCCTGGTTTCCTTTGCACCCATGGAGCTGCCGCTCCTGTGCTCCCGCAGCGGAGGCTGGACTGGGTCTTCCCCCGTCCCCAGGGCTCGCTGTCACCGAGGCCGTGTCCAGAGCGAGCGCTTCCTCACGAGCCCCTCATCGTCCCCCAGGGCGGCTGGGAGAGGGTCACGGCTAATGCAATAAACGTCGTCTCTCATTAGAGCTCTGCAAAGCAAAACGGGGGGAAATGTGGATATTTATAAAAGTGGCACACACAGAGCCAAGGCGGTTGTATCGATTGGGAGAGGAAAAGCCGAGGAGCAGCGTGCCGCTGCAAATGAGATATCGGATTCAGCTCATTTAAAGTCCAAAGCCGAGGGGCCGGCAGCGGCCTGGCTCCCCCAGCCCTGCTCCTGGGGGAGGCTGTTACAGTGCTTGCCAAGGTGGAACCTTTAGCATCTTTTCAGAATACGTGTCCTATCTCTGAGGAGTAGATGGTCGGAAATACATCATTTAATGCAGCTCTTTGAGCGATAGAGTTACAGTTCTTTAATGAGCTCCTGACCTTATCGCAGCGACCTAATCACCTTCTATACATAGGAAGAGTTCTCATCTCCTGGAACATTGTCCCCGTTATTGCGGCAATGGTGATAATAAATTCCTAGTAAAATCTGCTGGCGCTGACGTTACAACCTCTCACGCTGGTGGCTGGAAGTGCTCCCTTGGAGCCGTTGTCGGCCAAGGGGGACCAATGCAGAGGGCAGGGGCGCTGGCGGG